GTCGTGTCAGCACATCCAACACTAGGGCAAACAAAAACGGGCTAAGGGCTGATCCCTGATGCAACCCCATCTCCACAGGGAAATGTTCCGAGTCTCCTCCCGCAGTCCTCACCCGAGTTTTAGCATCTTCGTACATGTCCTTAATCACCCTAATGTACGCTACCGGGACTCCGCTAACCTCCAAACATCTCCATAGCACCTCCCTCGGGACTTTGTCATAAGCCTTCTCAAGGTCAATGAACACCGTGTGCAAGTCCTTTTTCCTCTCCCTATACTGCTCCACCAATCGTTTCACAAGGTGAATGGCTTCTGTAGTTGACCGTCCCGACATAAATCCGAACTGGTTCTCAGAGATAGATACACCTGTCCTCACTCTCTTCTCCACTACCATCTCCCAAACCTTCATAGTGTGACTCAGCAGCTTGATACCCCTATAGTTGTTGCAGTTCTGGATATCACCTTTGTTTTTGTACAACGGAATCATCAAACTCCACCTCCAATCTTCGGGTATCTTCTTTGTCTTGAAAATGACGTTAAACAAGCTAGTAAGCCACTCCAAGCCTACCCTACCCGCTTCTTTCCAAAATTCCACCGGGATCTCGTCAGACCCAGTCGCCTTACCCCTGCTCATCTTCCGTATTGCCACATCAACCTCCTCACACTAATACGCCTACAAATCCCAAAATCTCTCCGACTTTCTGAGTTCTCCATCTCACCCAGCAGAGAAAGAAAAAGAAGAAAAACAACAAAATAAAACAACTTTAGTTTGAACTACGTTTGACCTGATTCTTGTATCAACAAGATACATAGGCAGCCTTACTTTGGGGTTCGGTCACACCAAGTCAAAAATTCAAAATTCTCTCATGTCAAAGAAATTGGGGCAAAAATTTTATCGATTCCAAAAGTTGTAAGTTTAAACCCTTCTGTTTTAGTTATTTTGAGCCTTCATGACATCCTTTCTTTCTATCCCTGTCCAAAAGCCGCATTACAGTCCATAAAGACCTTCTAGATAATCTTTGAGAGTGCCAAGTCCGACATGCAAGAAGCATATGATTTTTGTACCGTTGTTAATGCCTTGTCAGTTGCATCATGAGAGAGAAAAAAAAATGAAAGTCTTATTGGTGAAAACCCTCACGGGCATCATAAGGCGATAGTTGAGAGAAAGAACAAATGAGAAAGGCTTGTTGGTGAAAACCATTCGGGACACCATAAGTCGAATGAGGATCGTGAATCTGATAGAACTATTGGAGCATTGAAGCCAATTTCACAGCTTGAAGGTATAACAAGAGTTGAAGATTAGACTTGTTGGACATATCAGGACGCTCAATCCAAAATGCATGTCATGGTCAGTGGAGTCAGCCGCCATATCAAATAAATTTCTACTTTGTTCTCTTTTCTACATAGAAATTTTCTTGTTAAATACAATTTTTCCAAACTCTCTCTTCTTGCTTCATTCCTCTGGCTTTAATTGAGTCCCTTTCGAGTATTTTTTCCGGAACAAGTGAGAAATGACTTCAAAATATGCTACCAGCTTTACAATTGCACAATGCAGAGTCTGGCTAGAACATCAAAGTGACATAAGCCATGGAAGGATAGTATGCATGCCGAGTTGATGACAGTTGACGCATGTTGGGATTCATGTAAAAAACAAATGTGCAGTAAATTCTAGATGGGTACAGTGCATCACGTAAAGGGTATTGGAATTAAACGAGTCAGATATATTCTCCGTGATAAGGGTTGTCCGGAAGAGTGGTTAGCCAGCATTGTCTTCCAAGTTAAAATTAAAATTAATCATGGCAAGTGCAGGAGCAATCGCCCTCAAAGTCAAGGCCACAAACCAACCAACATGTTTTAAACTTACAAGTTTTCTTTGCTTCAAACAGGGATGAAGACTATGTGCAAGCTTGAATTTTCAAGGTATAGTTCCCCAATTCTGTTAGCACAAAGGCTGTCTGAGAAAAACTTTATCTCCTAAGCAATTTCCTAGTTGGGAAGAACCGTACCTTCTAGACGTACCCCTAGTCATGAGGAGTTTTTAGCTTTCTTTAAGTTCAGGGCCCCGCCTGTAGAATAGGGCCAGTTTTAGTTTTGTTAAGTTGTTAATCTTTAGCTTTACTTAAGTTCAGGAGTCCCGCCTGGAAAATAGGGTCGCATCTTAGTTTTTCCTAAGTTGTCAGTTTTAGTTTCCTTAAGTTGTTAATCATTGCTTTCCTTGAGTTCAGGGGTCCTGCCTGCAGAATAGGGTCAATTTTTAGTTTCCTTAAGTTGTCAATCTTTAGCTTTCCTTTAGTTCAGGAGTCTCGCCTGGAAAATAGGGTCGCATCTTAGTTTTTTCTAAGGTTCTGAGATAGTGTCCCCTCAACCTCAAAACCTTTGATCCACTGCAGTTGTTTTGCTTTGTCAAGCATCTTGCTTAGATCTTTATTACTAGAATTAGAAAAAAGGTGTAGAGGGGACCCCCCTGTCTAAATTCCTTTTGTGGAGAGAGGAGCCAATGGGGCTCCTATTTACCAAGACAATTATTTTACTGTAGTGATGTTGAACTTTATCCACCTTATCCATCTTTCCCCAAGCCCCATCTTCCTTAACATTGTCACGAGATATGACCCATTCACTTGGTCAAAAGCCTTTTCCACTTTTAGTTTGCATAGAATACCAGGGGCACCACTTTTAAGTCTCCAATCCAGAACTTCATTAGCTATTAAGGTTTCATTGGTGATTTGCCTATTCTTGATGAAAGCATTTGAAACATGTCTATATCTTCGCATCCAACATAAGAACCTTACATCGTTCAAACATTCAAATGCTATAGAATGCACTATTTAGTTAATTTTCATGCTATATAAGATTTAAATGCTATAGAATGCACTATTTAGTTTATTTTTCATGGACAAGCTTCTTTTAATTGTAACACCCCCAATAGCTGGGAGCACTAGTCCACGAGGTAATCCCTTAAGCAAAACTATCAATAATTTTCAATAGCTTAAACATTTCCCTCAGTATAGCATGCTACAAGACTTTGCCAAAAAGAGGTGTACAGATCAAGAAAACTGACCCGTCAATAAAGGACGAGTAGCGACATCAGGCCGCGCAATTATAAGTTCTAATCCAACTTAAGTGTGTCTCAACCCCAAACTAGTTAGAATTGGCTCTAACAATCCATTGTGAAATTTCCATTCTATTTGAATCCATTCATTCCAATACTAAATTAAAGCTATCATCCCTAGGAGAGTAAGTTTTAAGTACCTTGGGTCTGTTATACAGAGGGGTGGGGAGATCGACGAAGATGTCACACATCGTATTGGGACGGGATGGATGAGATGGAGACTTGCTTCCAGTGTCTTGTGTGATAAGAAGGTGCCAGCAAAACTTAAAGGTAAGTTCTACAAAGCGGTGGACTGGCCGAGTATGTTGTATAGGGCTGAGTGTTGGCCAGTCAAAAGCTCTCATGTCCAGAAGATAAAGGTAGCAGAGATGAGAATGTTGAGATGGATGTGCGGGCACACGAGGTTAGATAGGATTAGGAATGAAGTTATTCGAGACAAGGTGGGTGTGGCCCCAATTAAGGACAAGATGCTGGAAGCGATGCTTAGATGGTTTGGACATGTGAGGAGGCGGAGCAAAGAAGCTCCGGTCAGGAGGCGTGAGAGGTTGTCATTGGAAGGCCTAAGGAGAGGTAGAGGTAAGCCGAAGAAGAATTGGGGTGAGGATTAAGCGAGACATAGCGCAACTTCAGCTAACCGAGAACATGACCCTTGATAGAAAGGTGTGGAGATCGAAGATTAGGGTAGTAGAGTAGTTAGTTTAGTGTTCTCCCTGTCATACCGGTAGTATTAGTGCGTACTTTAGTATTCTGTTGGCATTAGATTTCTATGACTACCTGCCATTTCTTTCATTGCGGCCACCTGATTATTTGGTTGTTATTTGTGTTGCTTTTACCTGGCTTCTCACCGTTGCGCTTCTTGTTTTTTTCTTCTTTAACGTGGTGCTTTTAAATGGCTTCTGACTGTTGTGCTTCTTGTTTTTCTCTTCTTTAACGTGGTACTTATACTTCTCTGAATCGAGGGTCTATTGGAAACATCTTCTCTATCTCCACAAGGTAGGGGTAAAGCTGCATACACACTACCCCTGACCCCACTATGTGGTATTATACTGGATTTTTTGTTGTTGTTGTTGTACTAAATTAAAGCTACGTATTCGCTAAATCTCATGCAAATGGGCGGAGGTAGAAGTAACTTATGGGTTCATCAAAACCCAATAACTTTGACTCGGACCCTGTATATGTGTTAAAAATTCACTAAATAAGTATGAATAATAGATTTTGAACCCAGTAAATTAAATGAGTTGTGGTAGAAATCCCAACTCGAAACCGTATGTTCAAATTCTGGATCCACCTCTGCGCCCGCATATAATATATTGCTATACAAGTTTGTAATTCTTGCACACACCAGACATAATATAGGTGTAGAAATAACTGAACCTTAATCTTTACCACTAATGGTCATTAAATTTATTTCACCCCATCTAACAACAACAACATACGTAGTGTGTACGCAGACCTTACCCCTACCTTGTGAGGATAGAGAGGTTGTTATATAAAAGCAGAATAAAAACAAGATATTAAGGTAATCAACAATGAAAGAAAACAACGGTTAGTCATAAAAACCTACTACCAACAAAAAGCGAGACTGCGTGCCAATACAAATGTTATGAACACTCTAGACTACCTACTCTACTACCCTAATCCTCGACCTCCGTACCTTCCTTGATCATATTCTCGATCAGCTGAAGTTGCGCCATGTCTTGCCTAATCACCTCTCCCCACCTCTTTCTTTGGCCTAACTCTACCTCTCCGTAAGCCCTCCACTGTCAACCTCTCACACTTCCAAATAATAGATTCATTGATCGCTTAACCTTTTCATGTAATTCCCTAACTAATACATTTATCAAAGAAGGAAATTACATACTCAAAAAGTTGAAAGGAAACTCTAACAACGAACCTCACATTGGCGAGCATTGCTGTGATTAAGCCATTGAAGAAGGCAATCTTGGTGAACATACTTGATGCTACCGCTACAAGCGCATGGATACCGCAACGGATTATCCGTGTCACCGGGGTTACGACAGATCCGGCAAACATCCTCGTCTTCATCATCGTAATTGTTCGCTACAGAATCCGATAAAGCAGATGAAGACGAATTGATCGCATCGACGGTAGAGGTTTCTGCAACAGAACTTCTCAAGCCACTGTCGTGCCCCGCCGGTGCAATCTCCATAAACGATTGAATTCGAGCACTGTTTCAATTTTACAAGGTTTTTGAGGTCGTGCGGATGTGTGAATTTATTTCATGAAGAGGTGGCGTTACGGACTGGAAGATGTGATTATGGATGTGGCAGATGATGATTTTGCCCTTCCGAACGTAATTGTGCTTTGAAAGACGGCCGTTTGGTTAGCTTACGGGCTGGAAGTTATAAACGGAATTATAATACAAGGATTAAATAGTGAATATGAGTATTATAATACATAATTATTTAGTAGATATATTTTTATCGATAGATATTTGGGATATATATATATATATATATATATTAAAAGCATGAATATTTTAGCGAAATGTCGTTCGTCTTTTTTACCCTTTCAAAAATAAATTTTATACTAAACAAAATAGTCATTTGATAATTTTCATAATATTTAAGGCTTTCAAATCATTAAAAATATTGACTATTAAATCTTTTCCCTCCTAATATTTAAGAATTACAAATTAAGTAAGATTTGACTTAATAAATCCTTTCCTTATTTAAATGATGTACAATTATTTTAACTGCTAATTGGAACATTTGATTTTTCTTTCTTTTTCAATTAAAGAATCCTGAAATTGTTTTACTTATTTGGCTTCTTTTTGCTAAAGTAGCATGTTTTGCTATCTAATTGAGTACTAATTGTTATGTTTGCAGGAATCACTAACATGCTACATATGAGCGGACTTACGAGAAGATAGAAACGGCAAAAATGTTGATTTTTATACATGTTCATGTCTATGAGTATATAATTTTAAATAATAGTTAAATAATATATTTGAGTGATAAAATAAAATTTATCGAAAAAAGTGTAAGTTATAAGAACTTTTGAAAGAATATCTTATAAAAATTATTGTTATTTCTATGACTTTATACTAAATACAAACAAATTACACGAAAATATCTTTATCGTGATTCTTTAAAGATTTGTCGAATAAAATAAAGTTGATTTTTTTGGTCTTTTAGAGCTATAAAGTGGATTTTTTTTTTGGGTCTTTTAGAGTTTTCTTTTTGTTTGTTTGTTGCTAAATGTCTTTTAGAGATTTGAGAACGGAGAGATTGATTCTATATAGCTCATGAGAAAAATTAGTGACGATATAAAGTCTAAAAATGATTAATGTTGGGTTAATATTTTACAAAAATAACTTACTATATAAAAACATAGAGAGATGCCATTTATTGGGGGAAAAAGATTCAATTAATTACAACTCATTTAATTTAGAATACATTTACTGCTATTTTATCCTTATTGTTTCAAGTTTTAATTTTAGCAAATTTGGTTCTTAATAGTATACTATAATCAATTTCTTTCCCTGTCAATAGTCTTCTTATGAAAACAAATTTAAGTACTCAATTGTCAATTTGACAAATAATTTTACTTTTATGATGAATTTTAAAAATAAATATTTTTTGATTTATATAAATAACAGTAACGGTTCAATAAGCATAAAGATCCAAAAATAAAATAGTCATTGATTCTTTACTATTTTAGAATAAATTTTATCTAAAATAAAATTTTGTAATGTATTCGATAAAAGTGTAATTACAACTAATATTTCCAATTTGGGTCGAGCTATATATCTTACATTCTTATTTTATATCTTACACTTAGATTATATCAAAGTAAAAAAATCGCTAGTTAAAAATTCGTAATCTATTGATCTACATTAACATATCTTACACTTTTATTTTATAACTCAAGCATAATTTTTAATAAGATACTAATGCGGTCTCATTTTTAAAAATATAATTCGTGTGACAGGGTACGCGCGTACACTAAAACTAGTTAAACTAAAAGAAGGGTAGATGGTCTATAATATAAAATACATGTTTGATATATACTAAATAAGTTGGGATAAACTTTTATTTTCAATTTTAACCTTGAATCTTTTTTAAAACATTTGGAAGAACCTTAGAGAATGGCATCTTTGTTATTATAGTATTTTATTTCTCTTTTTCATTATAGTATTTTATCCCGGGATAGTAATTTCGGGGTTATTATTTCGCCTTCAATGTGAGATAAAATAATATCATAATTGTGATATAATTATTCACGAAATTGCTAATTTTGGATTTGAAATTAACCAAATGTGAAATAAAATAATTTCGCATCTAATACCGAGATTATTATCTCTTATCCCACCAACCAAATCCCTAATAGCTTGATCTTCACCTTGTGCACGAAAGATAACGATGATAGTGTCAAGATGCAAATGTTTGGAAAGGATCAAGCCTTGTTACAAAGTTATGGAGGTTACTATTTAGCATAAGAAATGGGATACAACGTGTAACGACCACGCCCGTCATTTTAAGTTTTAGCATTTTGTTCGGTGGTTTGAGACCTTGAGTAGCTTCTTATGATGCATTATGACTTGCGTGTGTGGTTGGCTTTGATTTATGAGAGATTCGGGATTGATTTGGAAGAGTAATTCCCATTATGGATGCTTTAAGTTGGAAGAATTGACCAAGGTTTGACTTTTGAGTAATAGACTTGGGAATTAGGATTTCGTGGTTTCAATAGATTCGTATGATGATTTTGGACTTGGGTGTATGTTCGAATTTGGATTTGGAGGTTCCTACAAGGTTTTGACCCTAATTGTTGAAAGTTGGCAAGTTGAAGAAGTTTGACCGTAAGTTGACTTTGGTGTTATCAAACTCTGATTGTGGTTTTGAGACCTTGGAAGAGTTCATTTAGTTGATTGGAACTTATCTGCGATGTTTGGTTGTAATCTGGATGTCTAAGTGTGATTTGGACGCATTTAGTGAAGTTGGAATGTTTGAAAGTTAAGAGATGGATTTTGATCTTCGACTCTTAGTTTTATCATTATTTTTTATGTTTTGAGCCTTGGAATAAGTTTGGATAAGTTATTTGGACTTGTTGGTATGATTGGTCAGGGTCCCGTGGGGTTTGGATGTGTTTCTGGGTGATTTCGGACCATTTTGGATGAGTTTGCACTTCTTGTTTTCTAGCGTCTCTGATGAGCTTCGCGATCGCAGGAGGTGCATTATGATCACGTAGATATTAGGGGAAGTTGGGAGCTTGTTTTTCATGTTCGCGTAGTGTTGGGAAAACTGCTCTCCGCATTTGCATGAGTTTGCGTTTGTGAGAGGGAGAGCATGGCTGGGGTATTTGGTCTTGTGTTCGCGGAGCGGCTGACGCATTCGTGATTGAGTAGAAGCAGCAGACTTTTGCGAGCATGTGGGCAGTGTCGTGATCGCGTAGGAGGAACTTGGGCAACAACATTTTGTGCTTCGCGAATGCAAGGCTTGTGCTGCATTCGCAAAGGGTACACCGGGCAGACTTTATAAGTTGAAAATTTCGAAATTTTGTTCATTCTCTCATATTTTGAACCCTACACTTGGAGAAGGGCTGGTTTTGCAAGAAGATTTTCATACTAGGCAAGAGGGTAAGTGATTTTTACTTATTTGTGATTATATTTCAAGAATCTACAAGGATTTCTAACCCCTATAACATGAAATTTTAAAGAGAAATTGGGATTTTTGGTATGAACTTAAGATAGTGATTTTGGGGGGTTTGATTACGAAATTGGATCCCGATTTAAAATCTAATCATATATTTGGAATCGTGGAGTTATAGGTGAACTATATCTATGATCAATTTCGGGGGTCCGAGGTTGACTTTTTAATTCGGGCCAAAGATTGAACCTTTTTAATATGGAATCAATTCATAAAGCTTGTATTGACTAATTTGAGTAATGTTTGACTAGATTCGAGTCGTCTTATGTTGGATTTGAAAAAAAAAACACAGTTGTTGTTGATTGAAGCTTGCCGAGTGGAGATAAGTCCCTTGTCTATCCTTGTAAGAAGAAATTCTCCTCATAGATGATCTATTTACTACATGTTGCTTTATTTAGGAGCCACGTGTATGCGAGGTGACAACCGTATATGCATAGCTAAATTATGACCATATGTAGTAGAGTTTGGCTTATGATTATGTCATGTTTGGACTATGTGAACTTATTATCCATGTTTCGTTGATTCTATGACTACGTTATGATACATAATTTTGGCTTAGAAGCATTCTTAAGGTTAAGACTTGTTGAATTGGGTATAAATGATTTATTTGCCATATTGATCTTCCTTCTTGAGCCGTGGTCATACACTTGTCTTATTAATTTATGATTTAGTGGTTACATGGCTTAGTTTATTTATGTTTAATATTATGAAAAGACGTTTGAATGTAAAAGTGCTTACTGAATTATTGTTGAGATGAATTGAATTACATGATTAGTCATAGCCATCTTTTAGCCATATGGGCTTTTATTCACACCTCTATTGTTATATCTGGTGTTTCTTTATTATCTTATTTTATACACACGTGCATGAGTTGGAGAGCTGGATACTGCAAAAAGATGAGAATTTTGGCACCACAGACATAGTAAGCGGATATTAATTTTTTGATAATATTGTGATTGAATCGGGTTGCATGCCGCAACTATATCGTGAGTGGATCAGGTTGCATGCTGCAATAATATTATTATTAGTGGATTGAGTTGCACACTGCAATAGCGCTTGGATATGGATCCGTCCCTCAGAAGTCAGGTGATTATCCATGTTACTTTGGGCCCTGTTCGCGCAGGCACTCAAATTGGTACTAGTTTGGATACTTAGCCACTGTCAGATGTATGAATTATGTAGTGAGATTTGGTATTGGATCGTAAGCATGCATTGGTAGCCTAGAGTCATGCAGTGGCTCTTATATTACATGTGAACGTTGATTGACTCGTATCATGATTATGAAAAGAACTGAGATAATTGATATTGTATTCTAACTTTTGTCTGAAAACCATGTCTAAATTCTAGATTTACGTTGCTCAACTAGTGGACTTGATTGATGATGTCATGATTTATTACATGTTCTGACCATGCTTTATATGCTTATTCATTTGTTTAGTAAGTCTCGATGTAGACCCCTCGCTACTACTTCTTCGAAGCTAGACTTGATACTTATTGAGTACCGTGGTTTTGTACTCTTGCACTTTTTTGTGCAGGATTTAAGATTGGTATTAGGGGCACCCATTAAGCTGGGTAGGAGTATTTTTATTGGAGACTTCATGGTGAGCTTCTATATTTGATTCTATCCGCAGCACATGGAGTTTCCATTCCCTGCTCATTTATATCTATCTATGTATTTTCTTTCCGGATAGATGTTGTTGTTCTGTTGAGATTATCTACTCTTATTAGATGCTCGTGATGTAATGACATTGAGTTCTGGGCGCTTGTTAGACAGTTGTGGTCTTGTTTAGACCATGTCTTTGATTATTCACTTATAATATTAATTTGAGATTTATTTTGCATTGTTACCTATATCATGAGTCAATTAATAGCTTAAATAATTAGATTACATTATTATTGTTGAGTGTTGGCTTGCCTAGCAAGCGGGTTTGGTGCCATCACGGCCTTTGATGGGATTTTGGATCGTGACAAGTTGGTATTAGAGCTCTAGGTTCTAAGGGTCTCACTAGTCACGAGCAAGCCTAGTATATTCATGTGGATCGATACAGAGACATCAATATCTATCTACGAGAGGCTACATGGCTTTAGGAACTTTCTCTTTCTTGATTCCTTATCGTGCGACTTTATTTCGGCTTGAAGCCTATATCTTCAGTTCCTTCCTATTCATTCATACGCGATCTTGTGTACTCGATATCAGTTGGGCACCGGCAGATTGTGATGATGTTATAGATGTGGTGCATTATATTTTTCTCTTATGTATGCTGTGATGATGTTATAAATGTGGTGCAATATATTTTTCTCTTTTGTATGAGGGCAGACTACTATCATCACCTTGTGAAGGGGTGTTCAATCATTTCAGCCCCAGTGTTGGTGTTGCCTATGAGTTCAAGGCTATGCACAATGTATGGTGATGTTTCACGTGTTAATCTTGGCACAATATTGGTGCAGAATGGTAGAGTTTTTCTTATATGTCACGGCTGTTGAAGCCCCCATGATAAGGATTATTTGGTTCATGATTTGCAGATTGACATTTATTCTAACGGAAGAGAGGCATTTGGCTATTGATGTTCAGACCTTGGCTAATAGATTTGCGAGATTGGATAGTCTGAGCTTGGTAGAATTTTTGCTTGTGTGGTCGTCCTTGTTTGAGCACATTTGGGCTCATCAATATGATGATCCTTATTTGCTTGCCCTTAAGTACACTGTGTTGTGAGGTGGTGCTTAGGAGGGGGTCATCGGAGATAATGATGTATTGTGACTTCAGAGTCAAATTTGGGATCCTAATGTGGATAGTTTGAGGGAGTTGATACTTGAGGAGGCTCATAGTTCGCAAAATTCTATTTATCCAGGCGTTATAAGGATGTATTGTTATTTTAAACAACATTATGGGTGACGGAGGATGAAGAAGGACATTATTGGACATGTCTCGCGGTGTTTAAGTTGTGTTGACCTAAGCGGTGTAGGTTTTGATGATTGACAAAGGATCATACATGAACCAGGTTCCTGGATATTATACATAGGTTATGGTTAAAATCAAGCAAAAGGCATGCACATGCAAGGGATAAGTATAAGTGGTTATTTATGATAATTCCTAAACGAAAAGATTACATATTTGATAAGAAGCAAGACGCCTTAATTGAAGAGAACTCTATCCAAGATAAGGAAAAGATTAGAAGTTGAAGTTAACTAGAACTCTTCCACCAAGGAAGAGTAAATCATCAGACTTGTAGTTACTCTTTATTCTACTAACTGTATAAATATCAGTCTTGTTCTCTTTTACAGGTGACGCACACATACTGAATTTAAGTAGAATTGAGAGCAAAATACCAAGGCATTTTGTGAGCAATTCCTGTGAGATTTAAGAGTGCGACCCTGAAGCTACATGAATCAGATTGACGAACCAGTTCCATATGTCTGTCTTTAGTTCTGCTTCAAGTGCAGTAGGAGCTTTTGAGTTGTACCTTTCAGCTTTCTCTAGAAGCAAATGGTACTAGGTACTTGAGTTGTATCATTCAAGTTAAAGTAAACTTGAAGTAGTCGCAACAGACCATGGCGTGTTACTATAAGGGTTAGAGTTTAATCTTTAGGTTTGCAAGAGTTTGTAAGCTTTGTTTTGGCTAAGAGTTTAGTGAAGTGTTTGGGAAAAATCTTACTGGGAAGTAGGTCGTGATTTTTTTTTTTTTACCTTTTTAGCCTGGTGTTTTCCACGTAAAAATCCTTGTGTTCTTTACTTTCTGCATTATTTATTCCGCAATTATAGTGTAAGGAATGCATCGAAGAACCAGGTCCTTCGATAATCTAGTGCATGTAAAAATCGAACACCACACAAATAACCCTCCCTCTATTGTGTGGTATTGAAGTATAAAACATCAATTGGTATCATAGCAGATTATCCTTTAACATGCTAACATCTTAGATTAAGATCAAGTGAGTGCACCACTTAGAAACTGTGAAGGGCAATCCACTACTAGGCCACCACTCTTCAATGGCCAGTACTACTCATGGTGGAATAAGAGAATGAGATTTCATTTACAAGTAGAAGATTATGAGTTGTGGGGCATAATCACTGATGATCCATTGTCAACACTGATAAAGAATGCCCAAGGTGAGGATGTTCCAAAAACAAGAGTTGACTGCAATGTTGATGATCTTAATAAGTGGGAAAAGAATGCTAAAGCCAAAAAATGGCTTATCTGTGGACTTGGTCCTGATGAGTATTACAGAATCCAAGATTGTTCTACTGCTAAACAAATATGGGACACAGTGCAAGTGGCTCATGAAGGAACAAGTCAAGTGAAAAGATCAAGAGAAACTTTGTTGTTTTCACAATATGAAAACTTTTCTATGAAGGATGGAGAAACCATTCAGGAGATATACACAAGATTCACTACTTTGACAAATGAGTTGAGGTCTCTTGGAAGGATTCTCACTGAAGAAGAAAGGGTTGAGAAAATCCTGACTAGGATTTTGCCAGTCACTTGGGAGAGCAAGATCATTGCCATTCAGGAATCAAATAACATTGCTACACTTTCCTTAGATGAATTGATTGGAAATCTTGAGACATATGAGTTGAGGAGACAAATCATGAAGATGGACGTACCTAAGAAGGAAATGAGTCTGGCGCTTAGAATTACTGAGGGTTCTAATTTAGAGGATGATGAAATAAAAATAATCACCAAAGACTTCAAAAGTACCTAAGGAGAGGAAAAGGTTCTTCAAGAAGTGGAAGCTATAAAAAACCAAAGCAACTGAAAAGTAGGTGACTGATGGATGCTATAAATGTGGTAAAGCTGACCACATGATCAAGAATTGTCTTATGTGGGAGATTGAGTGGAAAAAGGAGAGATATGAAAGAAGGAATATGTTCATCCCAAGAAGAGCTACAAAAAAGGATCAACCAAAGCAATGGTTGCTACTTGAGAAGATAGCACAAATGAGGGTTCTGATGATGATGACGATGAACAAGCTCTTATGGCTATTGGAGAATCGGAAGAAGAACCTGATGAAGAACCTAAGGTAAAATTCCTTGAACTAAAAGATAAAATCAAATTCCTTTCTAAAGAGAGACTATCTGAAGTATTGTTAGCTTTAATTGAAGAGTCTGAGGATGTAAGTTCTGAAAAGGAACAACTATCAAAGGAGTGTGTCATTTTGAAAGTAGAGTGCAAAAACCTTGAAATAAAGGCTTGTGAAACTGAAAAAGAAAATACTGTTTTGAAGAACCAGGTTCTTGCACTTGATGCAACTGTCTTTGAACTTAGATCTGAACATTTGAAATTAAAGTAAGGGACATGTAAGGAAATAGCTAGTGACACACAACTCACAATAGAAGAAGACTTACGAAAGGTAAAAGTTGAGTTATACAAAAGGGATGAACAGGTAAGGGTTTTGAAAGAGGACTTGACAAAGGTTAGACATGAGCTTGATAGAACATGTAAATGGAACATGTCCTCTTATGCACTTTCATGGCTAGAAGAACACCATAGTAGCAACAGAAATGGACTTGGCTTTGGGAATTATGCACCTAAATGGGATCCCATAAACAAGTACCTAACACTTCCTGAGAATACGATTTGCACTCACTATGGTAACACTGGACACTATAGGAGTGAATGTGTAGCAAAAGAAAAGGCAAGTCTAAGGAACAAAAACTTTGTTCTAGGGAAGAATAGGCTACCAAGTTGGGCAAAAAAGAATTTGATTTATCCTTTTGCCTATAGAAAGGGACCCAAACTAGTTTGGGTTCCTAAGACTAACCGTTGATTTCCTTTTGCAGGTCCAAGTGAAAGAGAGCAGCCAAATGTGGTACACAGATAATGGTTGTTCAAAGCACATGACATGAAACAAGAATCAGTTCCTTTCACTTGTGACCTTTAAAGGAGGTAATGTCTCCTTTGGAAATGGAAAGGAAGGTGATATCATTTGAGTTGGGAAGCTAGGTAAATATGATTCTCACTCAATTAAAAATGTCTACCTGATAGATGGACTGAAATACAGCCTGATAAGTATCTCACAACTGAGTGATAGAGAAAACATGGTAGCTTTCACCTCTGCAAAATATTTTGCAATAAATCTTACCACTGACAAAATAGTCTTGCACGGAAGAAGAGTGAACAATATATATATGGTGGATTTGTCCACACTTTCAGATAATGAACTCACTTGCTTGAGTGTCATGGACTGTGATTCCCTCCTTTGGCATAAGAGACTTGGGCATGCTAGTCTAAGTCAACTTAACAAACTAGTCTTCAAGGACTTGGTGATAGGGCTGAATAACATTAAGTTCAAGGAAGATAAAGTTCGTGAGGCTTGTGCAAGGGGTAATCAGGTAAAATCTTCTTTCAAAAGTAAGAAAATGGTGAGTACTACCAGGTAGATAGAACAGGTCCATATGGATATGTGTGGACCAATTAGGACAAAAAGCAAAGGTGGTAAAAGATATGCTATGGTGCGTGTTGATGATTACTCTAGTTTGGACATTGTTATTAACATCTAAAAATGAAGAATTTTACATGTTTACTTTATTTGTTAGAAAAACTCAAAAATAACTAGGTAATCAATTAGGTCTGATCATGGTATTGAGTTTGAGAATGCTAAGTTTTTTGAATTTTGTGATGAACATGGCATAAATCATAATTTTTATGCTCCTAGAACTCTACAATAAAATGGAGTTGTTGAAAGAAAGAATAGGACTTTGGAGGACATGACTAGAACCATGTTAATTACTAGTATGTTGCCTCATAGCTTCTGGGCAGAAGCTGTGAACACTGCATGTTATATCATAAATAGGTGCATAACTATACCTCTTGTTGAAAAATTTCCTATGAGTTACTTATAGGGAGAAAACCAAATATATCCCATCTTAGGGAATTTGGATACAAGTGATTTGTTCACAATAATAGAAAAGACTCCTAGGAAAGTTTGGTCCCAGAAGTGATGATAGAGTATTTTTGAGATATTCTTCACATAGTAAAGCCTATAAGATATACAATAAAAGAACTATGTAAGTATAAGAAAGTGTGCATATTATCTTTGATGAAACTAACATTCTTTCTGAGAGGAAGGAACAAGATGATGAAGATATTGGGTTGAAAAGAAATTCAAAGGGTAAAACTGCAGTCCAGCCAGAAGCTGTATCACAGGAAGGAATATGTGATGAACCAGGTCCTTCCACCCAGGGCAACTTGACAAGGGGAACTGACTAGAGAGGAACTGGTCCTCAAACCTTGAAGGAACTTGTCTATGAACCTGTTCCTCAGCAACAAAATAATGAAGGAACATCCAGAGAAAATCAGTTGGTTGTGAAACCTTACAAGTATCAAAGTTCTTATCTCATTGGGAATATAATTACTGATCCAACCTCTAGAATCAAAACCAGATCTTCTTTAAAAAATCTCTGTACTTTTGATGCTTGTTTTTGAGCTTTGCAAGATGTAAATTGGGTGAAGATGGACTCAACCAATTTAAGAGAAGTCAAGTATGGCATCTGGTGCCGAGACTCAAGGACAAGAATGGTGATTGACACTAAATAGGTCTTCAGAAACAAACTTGATGAAGAAGAAACTGTTACAAGGAACAAGGCAAGATTGGTGGTTCAAGGATATAGTCAAGAGGAGGGCATAAACTATGATGAGACTTTTGCTCCGGTTACAAGATTGGAAGCAATTATACTTCTTATAGCATTTGCTGCTTACATGGAATTCACTCTCCATCAGATGGATGTCAAGAGTACCTTCCTCAATGGCAATTTAAAGGAAATAGTTTTGGTCAAGCAACCTCCTGGCTTTAAAAGCAAGGAATGTCCTGAGCATGTGTACAAACTTGATAAGGCACTTTATGGGCTTAAGCAGGCCTCAAGAGCATGGTATGAAAGATTGTCCAAATTCTTGCTTGAGCATGGCTACAAGAGAGGTAAAATTAAGAATACTTTATTCTTGAAAGAAAAAGATAAATATATCTTGGTTGTTCATATATATGTCGATGATATAATCATTGGAGCAACAATTGATAGGCTAATTAAAGAATTTTCTAAGAAAATGGGGAGTGAATTTGAAATGAGTATGATGGGTGAGCTTAATTTCTTCTTAGGCTTACAAATTAAACAAACTTAAAATGGAACTATGATCCATCAGAAAAAGTATGTCAAAGAGTTGCTCAAAAGGTTTAAGATAGAAGATTCCAAATAAATTGATACTCCTATTGCAACAACCACAAAATTGGATTTGGATGAACCTGGTTCATCTGTTGATCAGAAAATGTATAGGAGAATGATTGGCTCATTATTATATCTCACTGCTAGTAGACCTGATATTGTTTTTAATGCAGGACTTTGTGCTAAGTTTCAGTCAATTCCAAAGGAGTCTCACTTGAAGGCAGTTAAGAGGATCTTGAGATACTTAAAAGGCACAACTGATTTGTGCCTATAATATCCAAAAGGTAGTAATTTTGATTTAGTAGGATATGTTGATGCTGATCATACATGTTTTCTTATGGATAGAAAAATTACTTCAGGTATAGCACATTTTCTTAGCTCATGTCTTGTATCTTGGGCCACCAAAAGCAAAATTTTATGGTCTTATCTGCTGTTAAAGCTGAGTATGTGGTTGCTGCTTTATGTTGTGCTCAATTATTGTGGATCAAGAAATAATTAATGGACTTTGGAATTGATGTAGGTTGTATCCGTATCTTTTGTGACAATACAAGTGCAATCAGTATGACCAAGAACCCAGTCCATTATAAAAGAACTAACCACATAGATGTTAGACATCATTTTCTAAGGGATGTTTTTGGGAAGGGTTTGATCACTGTAGAATTTTGTACCACTAATAAGCAAATTGCTAACATTTTCACAAAAGCTTTGAGTATGTATCACTTTGAAAGGAACATGTTAGAATTAGGGATAATTAAGATCACCTAAAAGAAACCGGTTCTAAATCAATGATTGGTTAAATAATTTGTGATTTTTTTAAATAATTAGATTAGATATTGCTCAGTATCATACTTTTATTAGTATACTCTTGTACCATGTACTAAAATGCCTCACTGATGTCTAAGGATATTACCCTTATTTCTTTGGAAAATTCAATCTTACACAAGAGAACTTTCAGTGAAGAACCTGATTCATCGAGCTTATAAGGTATGTATTCTACACTCCGCATAAATTGAAATAATTGCTAAAGAATCATGATCTGAAAATGAGTCCCACTTTATCCCAAACTCTTTTTAAACTTAGCAGTTACAAACGAACCAGTTCCCACCAACCTGATCCCCACGCGCCATAATGACTAAAATTTTGGGGAAGAATCTAACGTCTCTTCAAACTGACACTCCAATGAGAAAAGACCTCTAATCTCAAAAAGCAGCCGTTAAACACTCAACCTCTTCCCTATTTAAATTGATCATACCTTACCCTCTTCTCTCCAAAAATTTGACAGATCAAATTTCCAAAACCCTAAACCTCTCCCAATTTCTCTCAAGTTCCTGAATCGATCAAATGGAAAATCCCACTAAAATTCCCAATATCTCTGTAAATCCCTCTTCACCAAGTAAAGATCCCTCACCTCCATTATAACCCACAACTTCAACTATCCAAACTCCCAAGAAACTCTATTTTAAAATAGTTGCACGAAAAATAGAAGCAAGCAGAGAACATGCCAACAAACTAAATGAAAATTTTCAAGCGAGTTAAACAGATTAACCCCAGAAATCGAAAGATTCTTTCCAGTGTGGGACTGAGGGGCAAGAACCATTTTCATCTGAAATCGAGTAACTTCTGAGTTTCTATCTTCTGATGCTAGGTCTGAAAGTCAAGAAAATCGCGAAGCTCGTTTTTCTTTGGTTGGGCCAGTTGCTGGTGTAGAAACAAGAAATGTTGGAAATGTTATTGATATTGGTGGTAAAAATAAAAAGAAAAAAGAAAGAGAGAGTGAGGGTATTGAGGCCGATGTGAGGGGAAGGGAAGATGCATGAGTGGCTGGATCTATTTCACCCACTTGTATTGGATTGGATAAAGGAACACGGGCAATGGTTGTGTGGAGTAAAGAGAATGCCGATGAGGAAGGAAATCTTGGAATTGAGACTCAGGAAAGAGGTAGTGGATCTGGTTACACTACTGCTATTACAACCCACAATCCTTATCCACCAATGAAGTTGTAAGATTGACAACTTTAGCTTTTAGCACAGTCAATCAGCCGGTGCCACGCTAACAAACAAAAATATGACCTTATTTTATCAGATTTGTGCCAGCTGTCCCACCGGGTGTAGTGACTGGTGCGGGACAACCCGTTTGGCATTTGGGGCGGTGAAATTTATAGACTTGGTACAAAAAGGTAGTACATCTTTATTCTTTTTCATTCTAGGAGGTATCGCCGGCTTTAGCTCACCCAAAACATTCTCAAACCCTCTAAGAACTCCTAAACGATTCAAGTAAGATCAAAGGTGAACCTAGTAGATTTAACGTAAGAAATCTCGTGATCATCACTATATTCTTTATCTTCTTTTTATACTGATTTTGGAGATTCCCTGGAGGCGGAGGTAATCACCATAGAAGCACAGGTAATTCTTCAAAAAGGTATGTGAGGCAGTCTTCTTTCTTGGCATGTTTTATGTAAGCGCTTACTGAATTGTTCTAAGCTTCTCTTGACAATGATGGTCATGTTCTTGTTCATTCTTCGCCGGTAGCATTTGCCTTTCTAAGTTTGGAATGTTTCCAGATGGTACCGTGAGGTCCTAAAACGTATCTCGTTCTGAGTCTAACTTTGATATCTCTTGTAATGGACCTTGTATTGCACTTATATATATATATATATCCAATGTTAAGTTTTTTTCCACAGTCAAATATGAACATTCTTTAATTTTGATGTCATACTGGGAGTCCTGGTCGACCTGGATTCATGATAAAAGGTGTAAGTATGGATGTTGGTTCGCACGGGCCTTTGGGCGTCATATAGAGGTCGCACCCCCCGAGGTTGGGGGTGTGAAAACTACACCAGAAGGACTGTTTAGGTTGAGGAAATAGTTCCAAGAACCTGTTCCTTCTAGACAAGAGCCCCTTCATTATTTGCTGTAGAAGGTGTTTGATAGTTATAACCCCAAAATAAAGAAAAGTACTAGTGCAAAAACCCCTGGAAAGGGTATGGGTGGCAAGAAGAGAATGACTGCCTCTTCTATCCCTGTAGAGTCTCCTCCTACAAGAGTGAGGCTAACTTGAAAAAGATCTTAGCTGAGAGTGCCAAGAAGGTTGCTGCCAAGGGGAAGAAGAAAATTGGTGAAATGAGTGAAGCTATTCAGATTGAGGAGATGAACTTGGTCCTTCAGGATGAAGATGAGATGGAGGAGGTGTAAGTACCTACTCCCAGTGCTAAGAAAAGAAAGACTTCTCAGAAGAAGTCACAAGAAAAGGCTGTTGAGGCAGAAGACTCAGTCTTCTCCAAAAGAACAAGGCCTATTAGAAAAACCAAGAAAGTTCAAGTGGTGGAGGAGGAAACTGAAGAAGAGACTGATGAGGAGGAAGATAAGCTGGTAAAGTTTCAAAAAAGAACCATTTTGAAGGGAAGTCTTCTTCGCGATGTGGAGGAAGAAGGAATGGTTTTGCTGCTGGAAAAATTAGAGTTGCAAGGCTGGAAGAACATGGTCCTTCAAATATAGGGTAGGTTGGTCAGGGCTGAAATTGTGGAATTCTTTGTGAATTGTGAGGTGAAAAATGAAAGGGTCACCAGTGAGATAAAAAGGGTAAAAGTAAGTTTTGATGACAAGAAGCTTGCGGAGATTCTGGGTATACCTGCTGAGGGGTATAACGATTATACAAAGATTAAATGGCTAATTCTAGATGATCTTCCCACCTCACTAACTATCACAAAGAAATTTGCTGATAATGACATGGAAAGGGAACTTAGAGCTATGTATAAAAGTGAGATGAAGCCTTCTCACAAGGTGCTTTTGGAATTTGTGAATAAGGTTGTTCTTCCCTGGTAGGAAAGAAGGCATGTGGCTACCTTCATGGAACTGGTCCTTATGGAATGTCTGGATAGTGGGAGGCAGATCAACTGGCCAGGCTTAATGATCAAGCTCCTTCATAGAGTTGTTTGTGGCACCAAGACTCATGCCATTCTCTATGGATTTACCCTAACTACTATGCTTGCCTCTTTTAAGGTCCCTCTCAAGAAATGGGATGTATGTACGAGTAAAGATTACTTTGAGACAAGAA